CTAAGAACATATATATATATATTCAAACAGAGCTCTGTCTCTTATACACATCTAGATGTGTATAAGAGACAGGAGAGAGAGAGAGAGAGAGAGAGAGAGAGAGAGAGAGAAAGAACCAGACAAACAGACCAAAAAGTGCAGCTGACGATGGCGCTCGAAATAGAAACTCCAACCAGAGAACAGGGTAGAAGAGTATTTGAAGCACAGAAGCACCGCAGCCGAAGGGGACCGAGACACCCACACCGACCTGCACTCCCTCCTGCTTTCCCCACCACTCCTGCGAGTTTGCAGCCTTGCCAGCGCTGTAGTGTATATTTTGCCTCGGAGTGGAAAATATAACCAAAAAAAGGAAAAAAAAAAAAGAAAAAAAAAAGACAACAACAACAACAACAACGCTGTGCTGCGACACTGCAATTTGCGCTTCAGAGGTCCATCTGCTGCTCCCTGTACGGTGCCATGTCATGCAGTTGTTGCCCCTCTGGTGTCTTCACCCGGAGTTGATGATAATCAGGATAATATTCCTTGTCAGGTCCTGAGCTCGTCTCGCACCTACACACGAGGGGAGCACAATGCCACAAACAAACTATTCATATAACCCGTAATATCTGACACCATCATAACAACTACCTGCTCGCAGCGGGTACAGTCAGCAGGTGACGATAACCAGGGATGATACTTCTTGTAAGGTCCTGAGCCCGTCTCGTACCTAGGCACAAGGGGAGAAAAATGCCACAAACAAATTCATGACCCATAACTTACACCCCCGTAAAAACTACCTGCAGGCAGCTGGTACAGTTAGCTGAAGAGGAGCAATCGTATTTCGAATTCCAAGAGACATGCATTCGGTGAGCAGAGGTAAATCCTTCTGTATTTAGGAAGCAATCGATGCTGCTGACTCAGCCTGAGTTGTTTTCGGCCATAATGGAGAAAAGCATAGAGTCCGTCAATTGTATAAGGGACGCTGAACCCGGTTTTCAGCAATGATGAAAATAGTTGAAAAAAAAGTTGTATGTTATTAAAAAAAAGAAAGAACTACCCCCACTACAGAAACGCGGTGAGGTCTGTCTTAGAACCTCCTCGCCGGGTTCTGGGTCGGCAGACCTTCGCCGGGAATATTTCTTCCCAAAGCCGCAAATTTAAAGGCGCTCACCGAGAACGCTGACAGGGCAAGGCGGTCATCCTTGGTGGGAAACATGGGTGGAACATGGGGTTCAGCAAGTCAAACACGTACGATCAGAGGACAAGGCGGCACGATGGAAGACGGCCAGGGAAATGAGGACAGAACTGAATGAAGGGTAGCCATAAACTATTTGCGAGGATACGGGTCTTCGGCAGGCCTAAGGGGCCCCTTGCAGCATATGTGCCCGCCCTAAGTGAAGGCGGCCCTAACAAATCACGACAGGCCCTTGGTTGTCAATTTCGCATTTGGGGGTCCAGGCAGTTTCGTCGCGGCAGTTGGTTGAAGGGAAACACAGGCCGAGCAGCGTGGAAAATTCCCAGGCCTCTAGGCCTTTCCAAAAGCTCAGGCCCTGGGCCAGATTCGCAGCCTCATACACAGACAGTTGGGAGGCCCAACCAAATGAGGCCCAGTAGCTGCACCAGAGGCGCAGCACCCTGGGGCCTACCGGAAGCTTCTGGGCCCAGGCCAGTCCAGCCAGGCTGCTGAACGAGGCAGGCTCTTTCCATATAGGAAAGAGCTCGATGCCTGGCCAGGGCATTCGGGCACTTGCTGGCTGGCGGCAGCGCTGCTGGAGCGATAGCTCGCGTGCTGTCTGCTGGTGCGCGTGCGGTCGTGTGGTGAAGCAGGGCGCTGCTGAGGGCAGCGCCATTGCCCAGCCTCCATAGCTGGCAGGGCTTGGATGTACAGTGAGGCGCAGGGGTGGTCTTCGGGTGTATACAGGGAAGACGTGGGGAGAGAGTCAGGGGAAAGAGAGAGATAAGGATGATGATGATGTGATGTGAGGGCACATACCTGGTATTGGCGATAGTCTGCTACGGGCGACATCTTCAAGTACTTCGGAGGCTGCTGACGTCAACAGGTGCATTGTCAATTAGTAGGCTAGTAGTAGCTGTGCAGGGAGTAGGCTGGGCGCCGAGCGCCAAGTAGAGGGATAGGGACTGGATACATATGTTGGTGGTGGCGAGAGCAAGCTCTCGTTGACATTGGCTTTCAGTGCTACTATTCTCCATTGGTGTAATATTGGTGCAATGCTACTTTCTGAACACTGTGATACGATCTGGCTTTCAATGTGATTGTGCAATCTGAATATTGTCACCTCGCTTCTGTTCATTTTCCTTGCAATTTGGTAACGGAGCTGGTTCAAACTGCGCTCATTGGTTCTTCGCAATAGCTGTTTGGTGCTTCGCATGAGGTGTGGCAGTGATGAGGTTTGGGCGTTGAACGGTAAGGTGGCCCAGGGTCGTGTGGGCGGGCCAGGAAGCTATGTGGTGACATTAGGGGTGTACGCTGGATGATGAGAGCTCGCTGATGTGGCATTTAAGCCGAGGTGGAACTGCATTCTGCTGTTGGTTGTGCCGAGGCAAAGACCGGTCATAAATGCACATCAGGTTGCCGGTGAGAAATCTGTGGTTGGGGGCAGCGTTATAACGTACGTTGCTCTCTTCCTTATCTACCCTCTTCATTACTTCTTACCGTGAGGAAGTGAGTTCTGTCTTGAGAATCCTCTTGATGTGAGGTGTCGCGAGCGCTCAACCTTGAGAGTCGACATTCTTCCTGGGCAGAAAGCTGGTGGGAGACAGGCGATGCTACTGAAGGGCCCTGGACGAACCACTCGGATCACGGTCACCATGCCAACCCGCTGGGACTAGTACACGCATGCTTTGCCGCAAGTCCTTGGTTCTGCTGCTTGCGCAATAGAGGTCATGCAGGGCATGCCAGCCCTTTGAACAGACGCTTACCAGACCGTCTCTAAATATTTCTGGCGGAGACTCGGTGTTGACTCTGGCTGTGATCGTCGTCCTGTCTGCGACGTTAGATAATTCCTGCGGAGTTCAGGGGATCTCCTTAAATGCCTCCTGATCAGCCAGATCAAACCAGGTGTAAGGCTCGTTGCATGCGAGGGTAAATAATGTGCAGGGGCTGGCAGGTTCGGCGTTGACTTGGGGCACAGGGGTGGGCCGGATTGCACACCTTCAGACACGCTGCTCAACCAGATGCTCAGGGCGTTGACACAAAGTGACAACTCAAGAAGGATACAGGGGGAGGGGGGATTCCGGTAACTGTTCATAGTGGCAATAATTAGACAATCTGCCATCCAGTATTTTTTTTTTTTTTTTTTGATTATTTAGTTGTTACAGACTTGACTAACAACTGACAGACAGTTGCAGACAGATTAGTTCTTTGCTGCATTGCAATCTGTTCTACAGTAATCTAAAAATAGATGTGATATTTCCTGTAGGATCTGACATTAGTTGTTACTACATCACCTAATTGTTTCTGTTCAGGCCGACCGAAATTAGTTGTGATTTGTAATCGGTTGTGTGTCCGGCTAAGGTAGGATTCAGTGTGGATTCTAGTTTAGATCACACACACTGTTGCTCATGAGTGATGCAAGCACTAGTGAGGAGTTGTTAGTGGACGACCGTAGGACTACTCATGGAACTGCCCGCAGTCGACCTTTGACTTTCCTAGAGTTAGGTCCAGGAGTCGAGAGGAGATTGCGGAGAGAGGCTAGAGAGAGAGCAGCGGCAAGGAGAGCGAGGGTAGCTGAGGATAGTGCCAAGTCTAGGATTTCCGCTAGCACCTGTACGACCATGGCTACTTCTTCTACCATGTCGCAGGCCTCTTCACAGGCTACTTCGTCAGGAGTTAGTCAGAGTGGTTCTCGGGTTTCCATTAGCCAGAGTGCTAACGTGCAAGTCAGCCAGCAGACTCAACTCATGCCGGAGGATTATGAGATCCTCCAAGCAGAAGAACTTCAGGATGAGTTGCAGCGGCAGTTGGATGAAGCAGCAGAGAGGAGAAGGAGAGCTATCATGAGAAAAGCTAGATTAGGTAGTAGGAGAGAGGAGCTAGGCAGATTAGAAGCATTAGATGAGTCAGCGCTTGACCCTGCGATACGGGCACTGCGTAACTCGCGTCTTTGTGTGGCAGAAGCGCAGGATGTCCAGCAGGAAGTGCTGGCTGAACTAATGGCAGGCCAGAAGCAGATTCTGGCTGCACTGCAGGCTCCTCGTCCCATGATGAGGCAGCCTCAGTTTGTTGTAGCTCCCCCTCTGGGTGTGGGTCCATCAGTGACGCTGCCGCCGGTAGGGCCTCCATTCTCACCCATGTTTGGCATGCCCCCTCCAGGTGGTTACGTAGCAACTAGTGGTCCGGTTCATAGAGTCTCAGCCGTACCATCAACGACAGTGGTTACTACAATCCCACTGTCAAGCCAGTCTCAGGTTAGTGTGCAGCAACCTTTTTTCGGTGGCTATGTAGCCATTGCAGCAATCTCTTGGGCCCATGCAACCCATGCAGTGGATGCCCAAGATCCCCTTGATGAGTCCGAAGCACTTCTCTAGCGACAAGAAGAAGGATGAGGACCTGGACACCTGGGTAAGGACTGTGCCTACCTATGTGAGGCACAAGCTTACCATGCCAAAGCAGGAAGTCATAGTGGCTGCCTCCTTTTTACAAGGATCAGCAACACGCCGGTTAAATGGTCTAGTGCAGCAACAGGGCTATGGTCAGAATTTCGATGCTTGGGCTCAATCTCAGACATTGGAACATTTTGTACGGACTGTGTACGCTAGGTGGCACGACCCGCAAGGTGCTCAAATTGCCACCGACGCAATCAACAGTCTGAGTACTAAAAGGTACCGGACTGTTGGTGAAGTCCCAGACGCCCTAGAAAGGTTGATCGTGGTACCGGGTATGCAGTATAACCCCTAGGTACTCCTCACAGATTATTTGCGATGTCTACCTACAGACGTCAAGAATAAACTGGTGGATGAGGCCTATATAGACCAGCATGACTTTGCTTCTTTTGGCAAGAAAGCCTTAGATATAGAGGCAAAGCTCGGGTCCGCTCATCAGGGACCAGTAGATGGTAGGAAGAAGAGACTTTCCCAAGATTGGAAGAAGAAGGGTTAGTTAATGTTTGTTAACCACGATGGTCAAACGACAGAGATAGACGAGTTTCCAGACCTTGGGGAGGAGACAAAGAACGATGGGCCCAGCGAGACTTCGGATGGGGGAGTCGTGGCACCCATCAAGGAAAAGGCTAGGGGGACCGAGAAAAAGAAGGTACTACGGTCCACGGGCCAAGGCGACCAAGGAACGCCCGCCTAGGTAAAACTTGGTTTAGATTACAAGGTGTGGCATTACCGAGTTGCTAGGGGTACTTGCATGAACTGTGGCAACTATGGCCACACGTCCAGGACATGCCGAGGCAAAAAGGTCACTACGAAGGTGGCATCACCAACGGTGGTAGGCTCATCTTCGAACCCGGGCAGTGCTTCTGCGAGCACTTCGCAGGGAAACACCTTGGGCCAGTAGGAGTTTTAGCCGCTCTTACTCGCGCTGAAGTGGTTATGTTGCCTTCTCCACTTCAGGCGTTGGCGAAGGCTAGTGGCCCACACATCGTCCCGCAGACACATTCAGACCCACCAACGCTCTGTTCGAGAGATGTGTCTGAGTCCCTAGAAGAGTTGCAACCTGAGTGGTCAGGGAAGGACCCCAGAGATTCTTGGGCGATGATCAGTAAAGGTCCAAAGGGTGAGCATTTCGTGGTAGAGGTTGATGTAGGTGGCCGTAAAGTTGGCACCTTCGCAGACATAGGCTCTACACGAAACTTCACCAATCGTGCTTGACATGTGTGGATAGACTGCGCTTAGGGGACCAAGTGCAGCGGCTTAGCAGAATTGTAGCTTCTACGTTAGCCAACAAGCACCAAATGGTAGTAAAGGACTATGTCTAGGACATAGTTTGTTCCTTCTCTTATGGAGGAGGGAAAGTGAGACACAAACTCTCATTCCTCGTCAGCGACGAACTGCCTTTCGATATGCTACTAGGCATGTACTACCTCGAGGTCGCACAACCTCAGTTTGATTGGGATAGGAAGGTGTTGATACACAAGTTGCCAAATGGTGGGACCGTTAGACTGCAGAAGTATAAGGCTAGCAGTCTAGTGGAGAACTACGGCTGCATGTGTGCTTCCTCTTTCTATAACTACTACAAGCAGAATCGCGAGGAGGGCATGTATCTAGTCTTTGTCTCTGAGAAAGGGAAGGTCGTAAAAACACCCCAGAGATAGAATTAGTCGTAGCTCAGTATTCATACCTTTTTGAGGAGCCCACAGGCGTGGTAGAAAGAGAGGTGGTCCATGCGATAGAGGTTGTCCCAAGTAGCAAGGTGCCTAGAGGACGAATCTATAGGATGTTTCCTGCGGAGTTGGATGAGCTCCGCCGCCAGTTCAAGGAGCTCACAGAAAAGGGATGGATTCGACCGAGTACCTCCCCTTACGGTGCGCCAGTTTTATTTGTTCCTAAGAAGGGAGGTACACTAAGGATGTGCATTGACTACAGGGGCCTCAATGCCATCACCGTTAAGAACGCGAAGCCCCTACCTTGCATCGACGACCTACTAGATAGAGTGCAGGAATGTCGGTACTTCACTAAGATAGATCTAAAGTTTGGATACCATCAAATTGCTATTAGACCTGAGGACCAGCACAAAACCGCATTTCAGACCAGGTACGGTCTGTACAAGTTTGTGGTGATGCCCTTCGGTCTATGCAATGCGCCTGGGGCATTCCAACACGCAATGAACATGATCTTTCATGATTAAATGAACAGGATCTTTCAAGATTACTTAGATAAGTTTATCGTCGTGTACCTCGACGATATCCTCATCTTTAGTAAGACTGTAGAGGAGCACGCTGAGCACTTGAAAATAGTGCTAGGTCTCCTAAGACAGCACCAGTACAAGGTTCACTTGGAGAAATGCGAGTTTGAACGCACCAAGATCTTGTACTTGGGTCATGAAATTTCAGCAGAAGGGTTGAGGCCGGACGATGCAAAGGTGGCCACCATTCGTGACTGGCCCAGACCTCAGACTGTTACTGAGGTCAGATCATTTTTGGGGATGACGGGCTATTGTCGTCCATTTATGAAGAACTATAGTACTATAGCTTCCCCATTAACAGATCTAACTCGACTTGACACCCCTTGGGAATGAACAGAAGAGTGTGAAGCAGCCTTCAAGAAACTGAAGTATGCTCTAACACACTATGAAGTCCTCAAGCTCCCGGATCTTGATCAGCCCTTTGTCGTGACAAAGACGCCAGCCAATATGGCATAGGCGCGGTCCTTGCGCAAAAGGAGGGAAAAAGTTGAGACCGATCGAGTATATGAGTAAAAAGATGCCATCTCAAAAACTAGCCAGGTCCACTTATGAGCGTGAGCTCTATGCCCTGTGTAGAGCGCTGGTACATTTGAGACACCATCTCCTTGGCAAATTCTTCTATGTGAGATCTAACCATGAGACCTTACGCTGATTAAGACACAGTCGGTACTCTCTAATGCACTCAAGCGATGGATTCAAGTGATAGACATGTATGACTATCAACTTGATCCAATCAAGGGAGAGTGCAATAAGGTAGCTGATGCATTATCACGTAGGGCAGATTACCTGGGCGCACTAGTAACTGAATGTGGTATATCTAACGACTTAACTCGATCATTGGTGGAAGCCTATCAGCAAGATCCAGTTATGTTAGAGATCATCCATGGATTCCAAGCAAAGGACAAAAAAACTTAGGATGAATTTACGATGATAGACGGCTTGCTGTTTCTTGAGAAGGCAGGGAATAAAAGATTGTGTGTTCGCAGTAGTGAGTCTTTGCGTAGTTTAGTTTTAGGGGAATCTCATGACACAACTGGTCATTTTGGTTATAAAAAGACTTCAGTTAATCTAGTGCAGAAGTTCTGGTGGCCCGGAGGGCGATGGCAGAGAGGCACACGGATGTCCGCGAGCAGTTAGAGATGGAGGACCTGCGGAGGGCCGATGAGGCGGCTGACCCTGCTGCACGCATGGCAGACGACCAGGATCCTGGCCACGATGACGAGTTGGGAGCGCGAAGGGCGGATGCAATCACGATGGATGTGGGACGGGTTGGTGGTGTGCCCATGGAGGACGAGGTGACTATGCCTAAAAAGAGGATACGAGTCCTCGAGGCGGGGCGAGGGTCGACCCAGGTGCAAAGCAGTTTACGATAGTGTTCGAGGTCGAGGGCCGACATGGCGTGGGTAAGGACAGAGGGCACATTTGGGCCGTCCGGCATTGTCGTACCCCATGATCGTCACATGTTGTAGACGAGGTTGGATAGCTGGGCCAACGGGGGTTTGCAGCAGCAGTACGAGAGGTTGTGGGCGAAAGCGTTGTTTAGGGAGGGAGTACCTTTCTCTTTTATGCGGCTCGAGACCACGCAGGAGCTGCACGACTTTGTGGTGTCATTGATGAGGGTGGCGATTGGGCCACCTTTGGTCTTGCCTTTGTACAGTGACATGTGCACACGGCTCCTCGATGAAATCTACCACGAGATTGCAAAGGGAGTCATGCCAAAGAAGTAAAAATGGAAGCTCACAGGCTGTACCATGATGACGGACGGAGCTACAGCGAGGTCGTACAAGCCCGTCGTCAACTTCATCGCTGCGGGCAAGGACGGGCCAGTGTTGATCACCACCATCGACATCTCAAAGAGGGACAAGACCGGTGTGGCATTGGGGGATTTGTGGGAGGAGGTGATCCAAGATATTGGCATTGATGTTGTAAATGCGTATTGCACTAACAATGCTTACACCAATAAGGTGGCTGCAAAGCGGCCTGCAGGAACATCCGAACTGTAGCATCTCCCGGATCCCTTGGCTCCCCTGTGCGGCCCATTGCTCGAGTCTCCTCATGAGAGACATCACATGCTTTGAGTGGGTGCAACCGATCTTGAAGAACACACACAATGTTGTGATGTAGAACATCCAGAGAGCCCTCACGTATCAAGGGTCGGGACCAGCTAGAGCTGATCCAACCATGCGACACACATTTTGGGTCAGCATACCAAATGGTGGAGCACCTCGACGATCAGGAGCGCATATTGAGGTTTGTCGTAGGCAGCGTGAGATGGCGGTCCACATCGTGGAAGGGGAAGGCAGACCAAGAATGAGTGCCCTGTCCGACTTGTTTTGGGAGAGTGCGCACCACGTACAGGACGTCAAGCAGCCGACATATAGCATGTTGCATGACATGGACAGCAACGGTTCATCCCCCCCCACCCTCTGGGGGGTTGTGGACAGGATCAGATAGCGGATGAGCGACACTGGTCTTTCAGAGGAGGAGGAGACACAAATTTTGGAGAGGGTGGAGTACAGTTGCAGCATGATGCGGCAGCCGACGCACTCGCTCGCTTACCTGGTGGGCCCGCGACGACGAGATGTGTCTATGTTGGGTGGACACCAACAGTACGGTTGTTCGGAGTGCGCTGGACCATTTATTAATGTTCGTTGCCAACGGACCGGGCTCAGAGGAGCACAGGAAGTTGTGGTTATCTTTGTATTTGTTCCACCATGGTGATCCCCATGCGAGCCCCAAGCCAAAGTGGTGAACGGACGAGACCCTAGTCCAAAGTGGTGGACGGTTGAGACCCCAGGCCAAAGTGGTGGACGGACGAGACCCCAGGCCAAAGTGGTGGACGAACGAGAGGGTGAAGGCAGACGCGTCGACGATGCACCCTGCGTATTGGTGGTACCTTGATGGTGACGACTTCCCACGCTTGTGGGAAGTTGCCACCAAGGTGCTCGCTGTGTGGTTAGTGCCTCTCCTTGCGAGAGGAACTGGGCCGCATGGCTTCATTCTCACGAAGAGGCGCAATAAACTCTCGAGTGATAGTCTACAGAAACCCGTTCTCATTCATTGGAACATGCAGCTTCTACGAGCACAGTCGGGTCCCTGGAGGGGGTTTGTGGATGTTTGGGAGGATACGGTAGAGGATCCGCCAGAGCCACGGGTCGGCGTTGCTTCCAAGGAGGTGTACGACGAGGGCATGACGATCTTCGAGGAGGTGGAGGCAGAGATGCGCAGTCGGCGCAAGTGCACGACTATTGTAGGGGCGGGACTGCGTGGATGTGGATGTCAAGAACGTTATTTACGAGGCGGTCGATATTTGGGAGGGGAAGAACATGATCGAGGAGATTGCGGCAGCACGGAAGGGGAAGGACGCAGTGGGCGATGACCCTCATGTCTCTCGTGCATGGGATAGGTGGGGGGGCCTTGATATCGTGGAGGACCTGGATGGCTACCTCTATGGCTCGAGACACACCCTTCATATGTTGAGGGACATTCACGAGTATCAGCAGCCAAAGGAGGGGAGTGGAGGGGTGCAGCGGACCGTCGTGTGGATACGAGCTTTCCTGCGACGACCTTCGACGGTGAGGCAGGTTCTAGTGCAGCCATAATGGAGGTAGGGTCGACACACACGCCGGAGGTGGTTATGGCCACCCCTCCGTCACTCCATTGTTTGGAGTGCCACCTGTTGCGTTCCGACGCCCCTGTCTCGGGGACTGCAACACATGAGTCATTACCTGTTGTCACGTGCGAGACAACTCTCATTGCCTCCAAGCAGCCGCACTCCACTGTCCAGGATTAGGGAACAACTCCTGTTGCGTAGGAGTTGAGGCAGGTAAGATCATCTCTCAGCAGCAGACTACATTGGACGACAAGGTGCAAGAGACAAAGGGTGTTCCCACAACGTTGTCGTCCCCGACACATCATGTTCCCTCCACATCGATGGCCACGGATGATACCGTCCTTGCACCCACCCATTCAAAGCCCCCTACTATCGTGGAGGACACAACAGGACATCAACCTGCACAGTCGTGTGCGATAGAGACAGCCAAATACACGACTACCGCTCACAAGGATCAAGCTGTCACGGATGAGGTGGTCCATGACACCGACAAGCAGTTATGGAGGTTGCTCCTACATCGACAGGGGGCCCTCCCACATTCCAGAGCACGGAGTTGTGCACAGAGCGACGACGACGACGACGATCAGAGGGAGCCTAGAGCTGGGACCACAGGAGCTGCACTCCGGCCCATGTCATTCTACACTGGTCCTCAGCTGCCAGCCTTGCTCAGTCGTGGTGTACTCCACGGACCCGGATTGACTCTCCCCTCTTGTACATTCTCTCCTCCTACCACGGTGCCTATCATACTCTTGTCATCATCCACGAGCACTGCATCACAACATTTGGAGGGTAGCAGAGGTATTCTTTCGATGGCCCCAGTTGTGCCCGATCATTTGGATCTCGTGTGAAGTGGAGTTGTCACCTCAGCTATCGTTCCTCCACTTCCTGCTCGAGTGTCATCTACCATTGTTGACAACACTGCGACGAGAGGGAGAAGCGGAAAACCCCTGACACACGAGGGCAAGAGCAGTCACTTCCACAAAGGCATGCTATGCAAGGTAGACCGCGTGGATGCCCCCAAGGAGGTTGATCAGGGAGGGGTAGAGGGAGACAAGGCGTCACAGGAGCGACAAAGAGGCTGTTGGGGTCGCTCGGTGCGATTGGCGGTGGGCCACCACTGTCCATATACACACAGGGAGTGAGGACTCATTCCTGTGGTGCTGCGGATAGGAGGAGGACGACGGTGACGACCAAGAAGCGGTGATGGGTCGGAGAGTGAGTGCGAGGCTCCGCCACACCCCCCAGATGATGACGACAACGCGGACACTGGGGGGGACGTTGATGATGCCCGCTAGGCTAACGAGGTTGCAATGGGAAAGGTGTTGCTACAGAGAGAGAGAGAGAGAGGGCATTGTGTCATGTCCTTCATTCACATCATTCATTGACCATGCATCTGGTTTAGTGTTGAATGCAGAATGTACCTATAATGGCCATTGTTGGATGGAGGATGTTTGTATTCCATCACGGAGTTTGTGAGTGTGTGTGTATGAACTCGACGCATGCTGCCGGCGTGTGTGTGTGGACCTTACTCGGGCTTTCATTGTGCGAGTGGACCTCATTCGGCTTCCAGTGTCAGTTTGTGGACCTCACTCAGGCTTTTTGCATGTGTGTGGTGTATGTGCACATGACTTGCGCTTTGAGTGCTTGTATGTCAGTACGTGACTTTGGATTTCATTGTGTATGTGGATCTCACTTATGCTTGTGGTGTGTGTTTCGACCTCTCTTACGCGTTTTGTACGTGTTGTGTATACGGACCTTGCTTAGACTTTCAATGTGTGTTGGTGGAACGACCTTAGGCTTTAAGTGTGTGTGTGGACCTAACTTTGCCTTCCAGTGCGTGTATGTGGAGCTCACCTAAGCTTTCAGCGTGTGTTTGCGTACGTGACTCGGGCTTTGAGCATGTGTCTGTGGACCTAAATTAGGCTCTCAATTTTCGTGTGTGGAAGTGACTCAGCCTCTGAGTACGTGTGTGTTGTATGTCTACCTCACTTATCGTTTCAGTGCTCGTGTGGACCTTAGGCTTTCAGTGTGAGTGTGTACCTGACTCAGCCTTTGTATGCATGAGTGTGTGTGTGTGTGTGTGTGTGTGTGTGTGTGTGTGTGTGTGTGTGTGTGTGTGTGTGAGGTGTGTGAGCAGTGTGTGCTGATTTCCGACAATGCGGATTAACGAATCAATCATGTGATCAATGAATCAAACTAATCAATCCATCAATGAACAAACCAAAACAGTCAATCAATCTTTCTATGAGTCAGTAAAGCAGTGAACGCGCATCTGACATATGCATGCGTCTGCATGTGGCCCCTCACCCCCCAACCCGCTCTCACCCCCCATCCACAATTGCTCGCCACGCTGGGGGGCAATGAAAAACTAATGAAGACATCGAATGGCCAGAAAACGGTTTTTGGCCAATATCCTTGGGGTCCATACCTCGGGCAGCCCGTACTTTGCAGAAACACCCCCTACCTTCTCTTTTTTGTTTTTCAATTTTTTGGGCCCTTTTTCCGGTTTATCCGGATTTCCGGATAAACCCGATGCCGGACGATAAGGCCGGATGTTCCGGTTACTTAATCCGGGCGGAAATGCTTTGCTACCCAACAAATAACCGTAATCTGCTGTGGCAAACATCTGTCAGCAAAAATATCCCCCAAAACCCTAAACACAAAACAAACTCCACCCACTGAAAAGGAAATCCTGCCCACTGAAAATAAAATCCCACTACATATTGTCCTCCGAAACGACAACAAAAACACCGGAGCATAACCAAAGCACTTAATAATTCCTGTAAACAAACAAATTCTCCCAGGAAAGTGACTAAAGTCCATCGTGTCCTGGTACAGATCTTGAGACAGGCTCCCTGAAGATTACCAGGATGTCTGTTGTTTTGAATTTTATGCTGTTTATTGCGGCTTTCTGGTTTCCGTCTTGGTAGTTCTTTTGGGTTTCACGCACAGACGGGCAAGTTTGCAACGTATGACGATGCTTGGAGCCAGGGATCGTGGAAATTGGCCCTTTGGGAGTAATTCGCACCCCACAGGGGCCATGTTGGACTGTCGGAAAGCAAGCCGGTACAAAAAGAAGAAGAAAAAAGACATGTAATAACGGGGTCGTTGCAAAGCAAGGGTAAAGGAATAGGGAGTGTTACTTGAATGCAGAATGACTAATTTAAAATAGAATGAGGATACTAGTAGAGAAGGGGTAATAGGGATGGTAGTGGCTATGAAGGTGATAGAGGTACGAAATCAGTAGGCTGACAGGCGGCTTGAGGAACTGCCACAGACCAGCCTTTGATGGATGTAAAAAACTTGCTTGCCGGTGGTAAGCAACCGGACTGATGCCCCCAGAATAGAAGGGCCTTTTCTAAAAAGAAGGAAAAAAAAGGGGGTCCTTGAGCAGCACCAGGGTGCACACATGAGGTCGCAGCAGGCGGTACAGGGAGTGCAACCCGTTCCATTCCGTGGAGAGCCAGACATGCCTGTCATGCTCAGTTACAGACGTGCACAAGGGTGAGGCTGGGCATGTAGTGTGTATGATTCTCGAGGGCAAGGCAGGAACGGCCCTCCAAGCTCAGCCTGCTCAGGGAGGAGTGTGCGGTGGTTCTTGGGTTGGCCAAAGTCCCTTGACAAGTGCTGGCGCACAACCAGCCTAAAGGTGTTCGGAATGTTCACATTTATGAGCTATGTTGTTATCTAACAGTGTGCAGGAGCTATGACGATTTTGTTGCTGGCATGCATGGATGTGAGGCGATTGACCTTCTTTGTCTTCTTCTTCTTCTTCTTCTTCTTCTTCTTCTTGTCCTTCCTTCTTCTTCTTCTTCCCCTGATTGCATGCATGGATGCATGCATGGATGTGTAGCGACTGCCTGAGTTGACGAGGCAGAAGGGCAATGCTGCGACATCCCCAGATGTGCGCGGTTCTCATGATTTGCACTTTGTGTCCCCCAGAGGACTAAAGCCTCACAGATTGTGCAGTTACATTTACATGAAGTGTGTTTTTTGTTCTCCTTCCTTTCTTCGTCTTCGTTTCTTCTTCGTCGTCGTCTTCTTTTTCTTCTTCATCTTCTTCCTTCTTCTTCCTCTTCCTCCTCCTCTTCGTCTTGTTCTTGTCTTCTTCTTTCCTTTCGCCTCCTCCTCCTCCCCCCTTGGAATAACGGGGATACAGTGTTATAGTTGTGGTGGATTTGGGCACTACACCCATGACTGCCCCAATAGATAGTCTAAGAGTGGTCGGCAGTAGTAAGCTACGCAGCAATCTGGTAATCAAGTGCCGTAGTCCAGGGTGAGGTCGTTACGGTGTCGGGCGGCTCAAGCCTTACGCCGCCCTTTACTTCCTTGATGATGACACCTGGTGAGAGCCAGATCTAGCTATTTTTCCTGATGCAATCGCGGCCAACATCGAAGAACTGTAATACCAGATCCACACTGTGAGTGCTAAGGCCGAGACGTCAGGAGAAGAGGGCCTGCAAACTCCAAGTGAGCTTTCTTCTATGGGCACCATGAGGGCCACCGCTGACAAGACCTTAAAGTCGACGACAACAGAGGAAATGTCGGAGGTTCCAAATAAAGGACAAGGGCGAGGTGACCGAAAACGCTCGGGGGCAGGGCGATATGCTTGACAAAAGATAACGCAGGGCTTTTAAGACGAGACTTCAGGCAGGCTAAAGGGCGATGACACTTGAGGCTCACAGTGGGATCAGGAAAGAGAGAGAACATTACGGGGGCACGCTTGAGGCCTTGGCATCCAAGCCGTGGTTCGAACCAAAACGGGGCCGCAAAGCCTAAGGCTGGGAAAAGGGCCCTCAGGCCGTGAGTTTATTTCCAAGACCGGGCACGCGGAAATTGGAGGGGCCTTGATACTTTCC